TTGGCCCAACAATTTCTCCTCTGTGATTGGGAGCTCCTGCACCTGGACGTGGACTTCATGGAGGACATTCCCTTTTGCATCCGTCACTAAATGAATCACAGGAGGGGACTCCACAGACTGCGCTGCTAGCAAGGGAACAGCCTCTACAGTGGAGTCATTTGACCCTTCAAGAAAAGCAGCAAACAGGAGTCTCAGCAAGCAGCCTAGCTCCCAAATACAACTTCCCACTTTGAGGTCTTCTCTTCCCCCAGTATCCAAAGCAATTTCCTCTGTGTTTGCAATATTTCTGCATTTACATGATGCTTTCAAATTGTCAAAGTACTTCAAACACCATCTTGTTTACAAGCAACTATTTAAAGTAGGCATGTTGCAGGTTGCGGCATGCCTAAGGCCTCCTAGAGGCAAGACTTGGATTTCTGTATTCAGAGCCTGATTGCTTAGCCACCATGCTACTCAACAAGAAAAGGCCTCTCAGAAAACAGAGGCAAAGCCACAGAGGACACCCCTCACGTAAGGTCAGAAATGTCCCACCTTACTCAACTGCCTTCTAGATCTGCCATAAACATGAGCTGCATCTTGCTTTGGACCAACAGAGAATACTTTCAATGAAAGACAACAAAACTGTACAAACAGCAGGGCAAGCTGCTGGTCTTTTCACTGACCTGCTGCTAAATCCTCTTTGCTCACAACTATTTCCTTGTTCATATTGAAGCGGGTTTTCTCAGTACAAGGAGTCAAGGATTTCAGGTGCCGGGTCAAGGCTCCTGACTCTCGGAAGCTTTTCCCACATTTCTTGCACTTGTAAGGACGCTCATCTTAACAGGTTGAGAAGTAAAAGACAAGAGTTATGACATGGAAGAAAATGGTCCATGGACTCCAGCTAAGAAATTTTCCCTCTTTTGCTTCTCTCAGAAAAGGAAGCAGATGGGGATGACGTGACTGGATCCCAATGGGATGCTCCTTTCATAGCATCAGCATCTACAGTAGCATACTTTTGGCAGTGCTAGCAAACTGGAGCCTTAGTGCATGGCTCTCATGCCTTCCATTGTCGCCAGCAGAGGGGGTTTGTCCGTTCTGACTCAATCATTATACACCAACAAGCACTGAGGGGTTTTCTACACACGTAGCACCATCATGGATTTTATAACAAACCAATCTGTCCTCTCACCTGTATGACGACGATGGTGTCTGATCAGCGAGCCCTTGGTCCTGAAAGATGTCCCACATATCTTACACTCATAATCCTTCCTGCTGCTGTGAGTGATCATGTGAGCTTTAAGGATGCTGGCCTGGAGCAAGGAGAAAGGAACTATTGGTGATGCTGCCAGGCACACAGATCACCTGTTTTAACCAATGGAGAATTTCAAGCTGTAGCTACACAAGCACACACATATATTCACACAAAAACAAACACACAGTTGTACCTCGGAAGTCGAACGGAATCCATTCTGGAAGTCCGTTCGACTTCCAAAACATTCAGGAACCAAGGCACAGCTTCCGATGGGCTTCAGGAAGCTCCTGCAGCCCATCGGAAGCCACAACAGACGTTCAGGTTCCAAAGAACGTTCACAAACCGCAACAATCACTTCCGGGTTTGCACCATTTGGGAGCCAAAACATTCAACTCGCAAGGCGTTTGACTTCCGATGTACGACTATATAGGCAAAAATGATGGAGTATACATAAAAATTGAAATCGTTTCGATTTTGAAGGTTTGGCAACATTTTACTTGTATTCAGATTCGAGTTTTTTACTTTTCTATTGCAAGCCACCCAAATGCTATGAATAAATAAATCTATAAATAAATAAATGCAAATCTCTACAGTATTTTCTCATTTGTCCAGCACTATCTTATACGATCTGGTACAAACTTCAAACATACTGTTTTGAATGTCTTGTGGCACAGTTCACAGACGTATCGGCCTTCTTTATTAACCAGCAGCTTAACTTTGATGAGCTCCATGGAGGCCCCTTCTTCTGGGCCTTCAGGACTGTCCTGCCCCTCTCCAGTGTCACCATCAATGTGGCCATTTGGGCTTTCAAATACATGGTCTCCGGCTACAATGACTTCTTTGATGTGCCCACTACCTGCAACCACAACACCACACAGTAAACCAGATACTATCAAACCATACAAACTATCAAAGTCTGCCTAAAGGTCTTATGACAATGACCATTTTGATCCTTGTCATAATACTGTCTTGCAAAAATTTTTCACTTTTTCACTGCAAGTGCATTTGATAGTTTTACCAAGTTATTCCTCACAACCCCAAATTCTCTTTCCTGGACAGCCAGTTCATTGCACCCAGAACTTGTGGTTCTCTTTGTTATTCTCCTAACTTATGTGCCTCAGTTTGTACTCGACTTACATTGAACCTCATTTGCCGTTCTGCTGACTGTTCATCTGGTTTGGAGAGCCTATCACATTTCTCATTGTTTGCTTGGATTTTCACCATCCTGCATAATTTGGTTTCATCTGGAAACTTTGCTACTTCATCAAACCCCAGGTTAATTATTAGAGTTAAACAGCTTGGGTCCCTGAGCAACAACACTGCATTTTCCTGTGTTGTGAGAACTGTTTACTCCTACAATCTTTTTGCTGTTCTTTAACCAGCTACCTATCCCCATGACAAGCTGTGAATGAAAAGGTTACTTAGGAACTTTTATTAGGGGGGGTTGTCAAAGGATTATGGAATTAAAGCTTATACTGTTTGATTTACCTTTATGTACTTTCTACAAGTTTATTGAAACACTCAAAATACCTCAGAAACTTTGGTGAACCTACCTAGTATTGCAGATGTGTTGCTGATTTCTTCTGTTATTGGAGAAGCTTCAACAACTATATGAGCTACAGTTATAGGCTCTTCAACAGATGAAATGACCTGTGCAGCAAACTGAGTTTTAGTAAAAGAATGCATATTGCAATAGTTATAGCCAAACAGTGAGAGATGCAAAATTAAAAATATTTCTCTGCTCACACTTTATTCATTCTTCCCCAAAGTGATGGAGGTTTGTTGTCTGCACCAATCAAGTGCTGCTTGCAAAGGAACACCTGGGAACGCCTTTTGAGGTTCAGTGGTTCCTTTGGAATCATGTTCTTAGATGCCTTAAAACCTGACATCAGGTGTGAAGGTGTGCTTTGGGGGAAATGGCCTCACAAGTCAAACTAGGACCCATGCCATGCCCAATTAGGCGCACTGGCCAGAAGCTTCCTACTACTGATTTCAACAGTAGTCAGTTGACTTACCCTGCCACTCTTGCAGTAGGACTTAAAAAAGACATCTCTGTGAATTTTCTAGGCATCACACCTAAGCCTCCCTCAAACCCATCCAGGAATTACCCAAAACTACTAGAGCAATATTGTCATGCTTTCCCCCACCCACTGCCCTCAGTGAGAAAACTTGTCCTAGCAAGCAGTCTCAGGGCTAGAAGAGAATCCAGCCATTGCATTCCCCACATCCTGCTTCAGGAAACTTGCCGGGGTTGTTACTGCTGTAGTATCTTGCTGCCTCTGGCAAAGCTTTTGTAATTTGTGCTGTACAAATTCTTCCAAAGAAGTGAACTCAGACTGGCACCGGCCACACTTGTGCCTGTCATCTTCATCTAAAATTCAAAGGATAAGAAAACTGTCACCATCTTCAGATGGAATAACAAGACTATTTAAAGACAAAACGTTCAGACCAGCTGCTTATATTGGTCATTATATGATAGGAAGGAAGTTGTACAAATTGTTACCTAAGCATTGATAGGATAGCTTGAGAACACACCTTGAAATAAAAGCATCCAGTAAATGTGAAAAAACAAGCTGAGAAGAATTTAACATTGATAAGATTTGAACATGATTTTGCAATGCTTAATAAGGGTCAAGTGCAAAAAGGGGCAGAGCTCCTGCACCCTAAAAGCTGTGTAGAAGAGAATTTCAATACAGCAGCTTGCACAAGTTACACTGCTGAAATCCCCATTCCCAGCACTTCCACTGTCCTCTCTTAAATGTGACCATGAAATACATGCTTTCTCAGAGAAAAGATGTAGGCAGGAGCTATTTTACAACTGAGCAACTCTGGCTAAGAAACAAGTCTGTCATGTTTCTTTCCTGACTCTGGCACATTAGCAGAAGCAGTGTTCCTGATCATTCTCATCCAGGCTGCGGTTTAAAAGAACAGGTGTTGGGTTAGATTAAAAAGAAGTGAAACTTCAGGGATATAGACTCTGAAAGCTCAGTGCGGCTTTCGCAGACCTGCCACCCTCCAGATGTCTTGGACTACAACTCCCATCAACCTCAAGCATGCCCACGTTGACTGAGGCTCATGAGAGTAGTAGTTCTGAGAGTTGTAGAGGCTGGAAGCGAGAACCTGACAGGAGGCTGCGTGGCACCCTTTTCCCGAGGCTCAACCAACTTTTTGCCTGCAAGTGAGTCGCACGCTTGCCATTCCTCGCTCCAAAGCAGGAGGAGCGCAGGCGCGACACCGTAATTCTCAGGAGAGAGGGGCTTCCACTCTCCCATCGTATTGGACCTTCGCCTTTATTGGGTGGTTTAACGAGCTGCTGCATCGACATGCCCAAGAGCGGGCTGCGAAAAGAGCTGAGGGGACCACGGGCACCCCTTCCTCCTCGGGAGGAACATTACTTTACAGAGAGTAAGAGACCCCTCCCCTCCCCCTCCATCCCTGCCTGCCTGCCAAGCCGGTACCTTCTTCACCGAAAGGCGCCGGGAGACTGAGGAAGGCGGCGGGCCCCTGGTTCGCGCCGGAGACCGCCTCAGCCGCACACTCCTGTCCCCGTGGCCCAACTGCCGTAAGCCCCGCCGGCCCAGCGCTCGTTGCCATCGCGGCCTCCATGTCGCAAGGCGCCGCAACCATCAAGATGGCGGCTTTACGGCCGTGTCGTCATAACAACGAGCCCGGCGCCGCCACGGGGCGGGGCCGCAGAGCCCGAACTTTTGCCAATTGAGGCGAAGCTCGGGGTTTCCTCTCCTCAGCTCACCTGAAGTGGGCAGAGCCACCACGGCGCCGCAGCCAATGAGGAGCAAGGGCGGAAAGGCTCTATTTCGGCTAGGCCAATGGGAACCTGGCAAATGCGGACGAAGCCCGAACAAACGAAGCGAGGAGACGGCGTCTCATCCAATAGCAAAGTGGCTTCGCTTCATCTCGGCCAATAAGCAGCTACGGCGGGCGGGGCTCAGGCAGGGGTCTAAAGGCTGCGGTCACCTCACTCTCTCCCTCAAGGCGCAAGATGAGGCGGAGCCTGAAAAGCCGGCCCCGCCCAATAAGCGCCAGCTCGCGCCGCCTCCCAGCCAATCGACGTCGAGGAGAAGTCGTGAGAAGAAAGCAGCGCCGGTTTCTCTCAGTCCGTCCATCTGAGCAGGTCCGCGATGGCGAAGCGGTGCGAACGGCTGGGAACGTCGGCCGCGGCGCGGTCGGCGCTACGGGACGCGGAGGCGGTGCTGTTCGACTGCGACGGGGTGCTGTGGCGGGGCGAGGCGGCGATTCCCGGGGCGGCGGAGGCGCTGGGCCGCCTGGCGGGCGCCGGGAAGCAGCTGTGCTACGTGACCAATAACTCTTCGCGCACGCGCCAGGCCTACGTGGAGAAGTTGCAGCGCCTGGGCTTCCCGCCGGCCGAGACGCGGCAGGTCTTCGGCTCCGCCTACTGCGCCGCGCGCTACTTGAGCCACGCCCTTCCTGCGGGAGGCGCCGCCTACGTGCTGGGCGGGGCCGCCCTCAGCGCCGAGCTGGAGGCGGTGGGCGTGGCGCACCTGGGCGCGGGCCCCGCCCCCGAGCCGGGGTCCGCCAACTTTGGCTCCCGCGCCCCGCTCGATCCTTCTGTGCGGGCGGTGCTGGTGGGCTACGACGAGCACTTCAGCTACGGCAAGCTTTGCCTGGCCCTGCGCTACCTGATGCGCGACGGGTGTCTCCTGGTGGGCACCAACCGGGACAACCGTCTGCCGCTCGAGGGAGGGAGCGCCGTCCCCGGTGCGTACACGCGTGTTGTTGTGTATGTGTGCGCGCTCCCGCGCGCTTAAGTGCGTCAGACCGCATTTGAGCTCCAGCTGAGCGCGACCGTCCGGAAGGGCACAGGTGGCTGAGCGAGCATAGGACGTGACGGAGGACACGTTCACACGCTCACATTTAAAGCGCTACAATGTCACTTGAAGAGCCATACTTTTCCCTAAAGAAAGCTGGGAGTTGTGGTTTAAAGGTGCCGAGAGTTGTCAGTAGACCTCTAGTTGCCTCAGTTCGCAGTGTAGTGTGACAATCAGTCCCTCTTCCCAGGGAGCTCTGGGAATTGTAGCTATGTGAAGCGAAGGGTGGTCTAGCAATGCTCAGCACCCTTAACAATCTATGGCTACCATAAGTCTTTGGGCAAAGCCACAACTATTTAAAGTGGTGTACTGCTTTAAATGTACGGTGTGAATGTGGCCTGTGTCTGGCTACATTTGAGTGCATGCAGAATGCGATGGGCCCAGAGGGACGCAGGCTAAATAAGCAAAGTGTCTCCCTTGCCTTTGCCCTGCAGGAATGTTGCTTTTTAATGTTTAGTGTTTAATGTTTTGTTATCCTTCTAGCTTACCATGTATTGGAGGCAATTTTTGAAATCCAGCCCAGTTTTTATCATCTGTTGAGATAGATTACGCAGTCCCAAATCACTCAGTGAGCTTCATAGAGAGCTTCATCTCAGGTCAAGACTAACCCTCATCCCAAGCTTCCTCTAGCCCATTTGTTCAATTCATGTTGGCCCTCATTAGTATGGCTAAGTGTGAGGAATGATGGGAGCTGTAATAGGAACAGAGAATGCTCCCTTATACTTAGATCATTAGCCTCAGGTGTTGCTTGGCGAATGGCTGTAGCTTAATAGTAGAGCTCTTGTCCTGCATGCAGAATGTGCCAAATTCAGTTTTTGGATTATGTATTGGAAGCTGTGACTCCATCTGTCTTTCACCTGATGTCACATTTGGTGTGTGTGTGTGGTAGGTGTTCATTCATGGTTTGGGGGAAATGGCCTCGTGAGCCAATCTGGAACCCATGCCAGTCCTAATTAGGTCCATGGGTCATAGGGTCTCCATGTCTGGGTTGGGCAAAGAGTTTGAGACTTGAAAAGCAGAAGCAGAGATACCATTGGTAGTGGGTGAACACACATGAAAGAGAGGGAGGAGGCCTAAAATGAAGACAAAGTTCTGATTGGGTACAGACAGGTGGAGGCCTTTCTGATGAGGAGGAACTTGCTAGACCCACCACACAAGCTGCTTCCTGATATGTGGGCAGATGTTTTCATTAAAAAAATGCATGACCATCCTATGTCAGTCTTTAGCTGTGGGGTTGTCCAGTGGGATGTACCAACTAGTGGCTGTTGTGGAGTACCAGCAACTACTTTAAAATGGTGCAGAGATTAGGATAAATGTGTGGACTGGGGGTGGGTGGGATCATTTGTGAGGCTTGGCAGATTTGACCTGAAAGATTGCCTTTAACATTTCTGAAGAACAGGACTTTACATTGTTCAGCCAATGTGGGAGTGACACTGTTTTCTGTATGATTCCCTGCTTGAGTATTGCTCAGCGCATGACTAGTGTTTGCCTTCTTTAGTAGTACAACATAGCTGGGTTCTCACAGCTGGCTTCCCCCACTGACAGGCTTTATAGACTACTGAGATGAGTTTGGGGTTTGCACTTGTTCCTCAGTGCTGTATCTGGCTCACAATTGCTTTGCTTCTCTTTTTAGGAACTGGCTGCCTTGTCAAAGCAGTGGAGACAGCAGCAGAGCGTGAAGCATTCATCATTGGCAAGCCCAGCCGCTACATCTTTGAGTGTGTGGGCAAGGAGTTCAACATTGATCCTGCTCGCACCATCATGGTTGGTGACCGCTTGGACACAGACATCCTCATGGGCAACAACTGCGGCTTGACAACTCTTCTGACCCTCACAGGGGTCTCTACCCTAGAAGAAGTAAAAGGTCACTTAGAGAGTGACTGTCCTGAGCGAAAAAACCTAGTCCCTGATTACTATGTTGATAGCATAGCCGACCTTCTCCCCATCCTCCAGGATTAAAAAAGGGAAGTTTTCCAGCTTTTAAAATGTATCTTCTCCCCACCCCCTGCACCCTCAGTGGCTTGAGGCTGGTAGTATCACCTCGGTTACTGCAATGCACATGATTGCTGCTTGCAACTTCAGAGACTTTTAGTGTGTAACTTAGAATTCAAGGTCTCTGTTTACAAATTCCTTTAAAATGCACTTTGGAACAAAGAGGGAAGTGTGTTGTTTTGGTTAGCTTTCAGATGTTGTGAAGCATTAAGTATGTCTTAAACAACCGCAGTGTTAATGGCATCAGGGTAGAGTCTTGCTCAGCTGGGTTAAAGGGATTGGGCAGGCTTCTCTTAAAACTTTTCACTGTGGTTCTTTGTGGAAACTATATCCTCATCTGTGGGAAATTCAGGGAAATGAGCAGTAGGAGGGCAATTGCTCTTTTCTGACCTGTAGAACTTGACTTTAAGCTTGGCTTTGATGCTTACTCAGGTCCCGGTTTTAGGCAGCCTGCTTCAAATGTGATTTCAGGAAATAGAAAATCACTTGTGTGTTCAATAATTTTGTTGTTGCGCCTTTCCACACAGCCATTTGCACTTGCTTCAATATGCAAAACACGAAAGATGCTGTCGTGTTTCATGTATTCCTCTAAGATAGTAGGGGTGTGTGTGTATAAATATAAATATATATATAGTGATGTGAAGAACAGATATCTATTTTAAAAGTGAATTATAATATATCAAAAATAGAATTTATTGTTCAGGAGAAATATCAATAGATTTCCAAAAGATCCTGCTTGTGTTCTTCAGTACATACCACAGCAATACCTGCGCAGTCTGCAAGATGAAGTACCATTTTAAGTAAGGATCATTTGAGGATTCCCAAATTGTGCTAATGGTTGAATTACACATGCAAAGTTACAAAAATGCCACAGTCACATGAAGGTCTTGCTACAAGTTGTAATAGTTAATGATCCCAAGCATAAATTGTACCATCTGTGGGATCCTCTGGCATAAATATTTTGCGTTCAAGCCATTTTGAAGTCAGTGCTGATGAAGCAACTACAGTAACTTGTCCTGTGCTTCCTATTAAGATCTTAATAGTGGGTTGTTCAGAGGACATTGGAAGTCCTTTGCAGATCCACCTTGGCACCAATTGTCTGCTGAAAATGGGAGTTCAAGCCATTTTGTTTTGCTGTTTTGTAGGAAACATGATTAAATGCACTCTTGAAGTGTCTGGGTAGTTTTGTCCTTTTGACACTAAATGCCAAATTGTGTAATAACAGCTGAAGAAATCTGATATAGAGATGTAAGGATGAAAGCAGCACTCACTTTGGGTAAACAACAGATGATGCTTGTTTGCTTTCATTTTCCAAATTGTGTGCACATCCATTGTGTGCAGATTATGCTTCCTGTATCACAGATACTTGAAACTTGCATGAACTTGCCACTTTTTGATGCAGCAATAATTGTGTTGTCCACCGTGAAAGATATTTTGTATTTATAAATATTATAGGATTAGCATTGACACTACTTAGAAGTGCTAAAGATACACAATAACACCCCCCCCCACCCAGCAAGGTACCCTTTATAATCTGTTTCTCAATAGAATTTTTTCTTCTTCTTAGGCTTGCTGAACTGATTTGTAAGCCTAAAGGTTTTCTCCATCTTCGATGATAATGCAAACGGTTTGTTTCTTTCTGTTTGGACTGACTTGAAAATAACATGATGTCCTTTTGCTAGGACTTGTGCTTATGCAAATCTGGGGAGATTGAGGAATTGTTCCATATATGATAAATGTTGTTTAGAAACCTGTCAATAACTGCTCATACTTACTAGCCATGCAATAGAGCCTTTCACCTCTTTTCACTGTTTCTTCCCTTGTTGTGAAACTGTGCTGGTGAAAGACCAAGCAGTCTGTGTAAAAGCATCTGGGGAAATTCAGTCCTGTTCTTGAGTCATATTAAACAAGAAGTCTCTCTTTTTTCTTTGTGTTGTTGCCTTTTAATTTTGCATGCTATGAACCTCATTCATGTTCATCAAAAATAATATACAAAATAAGCCTTTTACCCTGTTTTTTAAAATTGGAATTGTTTCCATAAGGTTTCATTTGAATTGTCTGTAGCATCATGATCGAATGTGGAAGAGACCTGCTTGAGAGCTAAATTGTCCAATGTTGTAAACATCCAGGAGACACCAGTGGGAAGAATATTTTTCTTTTATTTAAATTGGCTGTGTGTTCTTTCCCGTTGAATTTCTGGTTCCTAATGTAAGGTTAGTGAGAATTGTTTTTTGGTAAAATAAGACTAGCAATCCTATATAACTTTGTGTAGAAATAAGTCCTACTGTTGTCAGTGGAGTTTATTGTTTACAGTTGCAGCCTTAATCTCCCTTTTTAGAACTCCGTACCTCTTACACAAACAGACTAGGTTCAAAAATAATGGCAAATTGTGGTTTATCCATCAGGTCTGAGCCTTGTGTTTGCCTGTCACGTCATCCCTGAAGGTTTTGGATTTCTGAAAATTTTGGATTCAGAATTAGTGCCCTAAGGCAATAGAGATCTAATTTAGCATGTTTTAACTAATTTTTAGTGAAAATAAATCTCCAGATGTTTTGTGCTACAACTTCCATCACTTCCAGCCAGCACGTTCCTTAAAGAATTCACCACCCTGAGCCAGTATTTGGCTACATATCGCAAAGTTGATGACTGGTTTGCTTTTAGCTATTTAGAGACATGAAAGGGCTGTTTAGGCCACAGCTGACCAGGAGCAGAATGGGTGTTCTGAGAAATGGTGCCAGAGGAAAATGTGCCCAGCCTTAACTTTGAGCCATGAAATGCACGAGTGTGTGTGTGTTAATTATGAGAATGAGCATGTCTGCATGAAAGCATTTTTCTTCTGGCCCCCACCCCTTTTTCTAATAGGCCTCAAGCAAACACCGCAGGACAGCGGTATGATCTTTTGCCAGAAGAAATAGCTTGGAAGCAAAAGATGGCAGGTGCTTCATAAGACGATGATGACAAGCTGTCATCATAGCCTTGCCCCAGATGATCTTGGGGCAAGCTCACTGTGGAAATAGCGAAGGCTTCAGGCCATTTCATTGGACGTGAAACAAAGTAAACTGGGCCAGTGCTGGTGAGCTGATCCACTGACTCTACAAGTAGAGGTTCTTTCTATGGGCCTTTGCATTCTATTTTTTAGTTTCTCTTTATTCCTGTTCGCCACCTATCATAGGTATGTGCCCACTTTGCTGCTTGCATTTACTGACATGGATGATCAGCCATTCTCCCCTCCTTCCTCCCAGGAGGCTGTGGTGCAACTTGAAAACTGCCAGCACCTGAAAGTACCTCATTTGAAAGTGCGCTAGCTCCTCTCACACTCCCATCTTAAAACTTGACCAGCTGCAGACAAGGATGGCTTGAGAGAAACAACCTTTTTTCTCTCCCCCCCCCCACATTCTGTAAAAAAAAACCTTGGATTTTTTAACATCTAGCCTGATCATTATTGGTGTCAATGGCCATGCTGCCATCTTAAAATGGGACAATCCAGTTTCCCAAATGGTTGAAATCGCAAAGTTGACTCCTACTTCCTCTTCCTTCAGAGTCCTCAAAAAGACACCTTCCTTGACATGCAATACTAAAATATATTTATATTTGATAATTAATCACATCAAGTAACCTTTTCCTGTTTCTGACCATGTTAATTCAGGAGAGTCGTGGTTCTGTGCGCTGCAGAGGTTCGGAAGGTGACAGGTCTGAATGGCAGGTTCTCTCCAGGAGCAGATGTCTCAGACCTCTGGGCAGGGTGGCACTCTTCTCTACTTGTTTTTACTTCCTACCCTCCCCCCCCCCACCCCAAATGAGAGAGATGTCTGGCCCATACCAAGGGCGGCTGCCAGAATGCAAAGGTCTCACACAAAGCCCCCAATTGTGTTCCCCATGAATGTGTTAGCTGTCTCACAAGGAAGGACAGCGAAAGCATCACCGTGCCCAGGACAGCATCTTTCTGCAGCCTCTGTTCCCTCCCACCATTTAGAGCATCTAACGTTTCACCACCACGTGGCTCCTTCTCCAAGTCAAGGTGCCAGGGTGGGCAGTAAAATGGGGCATGTTCTCAGGTTTCAAACCGGATTCCGAGGGATTTGATAATGCACAAGCTCTATACTGTCAGAAGGCAGAGTCAGAGGAGCAAAGAGGGCATTGAGAATGGAGGAACAGACTGTGGCCCACATCACCCCCTGTCCAGTAAGTACCCTGCCGCCTTTTCTTTCCCCACAACCCAGCACCTGCCGCTCCTTGGCACCAGTAAATGTCCCTTGATGGGTTCCTGATCTGTTTCTCTTGGGATTTTTCCGTTTAAAGGAGTGGAGTGATGCACAGTCACACAGGAAAACTTGCAAATGGATTGTGTCCCACATTATTGGGACGCCTGGAGTTCTCAACTTGGGCACCAAAATACTCTGGACGTCAGGATCAGGGTAGAAGTGAGAGAATGATACAGGTTGAGAAAGGGAATTGAGAGAATGCTCTGATCCAAATCCTTTCATTGCCCCAGGACAGGGGTACCCGATGTGATGCTCTCAAGATGTTGGGCCCCCAATTCCCATCAGCCCCAGACAGCAATGCCAGTAGTCTAAGGTAGTGTGGTTTCTGGTCCCACAACATTGCAAGGGCACCATGTCGGCTGTTCCTACCTCAGGACTATTGATGCAGATCTTGGTGCTCCTGGAGATTGAAGGTACTCCGTATGCAAGAATGATCAAACTTAGTGAAATCTTTCATAACCTTAGGGAACTTATATATGTTATAGGAAGTCTTACCATCAACATTAAACTAATACTTTGTCAGGCAGCTGCCCTCCAGATGTATTGGACTATATGCCCCAGCCAGCACAGGTCCAAAACATCAAACTACAAGGTTGGGGAAGACTGTTTTATACCTTGTGTTGGCAATATTCTGAATCTCTTTCATTCACTTAGGCAAAGTACAGTATTAAACATTTTAGTTTAAAAGCCTGCCTAAATATCTTCTACTGCAATCCTTTACTTTGGAGTAAATTCCTCTGAACACAGTGGGACCTGTTTTTGAGCAAGCCTGCATAGGATTGTTGTCTTAATTTCAGTTATGTGCTCTAAAGATTTTAAATCAGGCCAGAGTTCTCCAAAAACTGATAACTACACTGCTTGAGATCCCTATGCTTTTGCAGAGTAACAACTTGAACACCAAAATAATACAAAGACTTAGATACCAAGGGAAAGAGGAAGATGTATGATCCATGGAATCCCTGTGGATCATGACAAAAAACATTTTGAATATCTTGTATTACCTGTCTTTACATAGTCCACAGCTTTCGGAAAACCAGGGATCACTCATCCAGCAATGGGATGAGAATGAGTTAATTTCCATGTCAACAAAAAATGATTATTAATAATAGTTTATTATTAATTACCTGCCCTTAGGTTCCAGGGCAGGTTACAACCATATAAACTGGGTAGGCAAGCCCTGAGCTGCTTATATCGCATAACTACACCTTCTGTAACCATCAAGTACATCCATGTTTGCATTTTTGTCATGCCATTTTATTGTACTTCATTTTCTTAAGCAGAATAGGAAAGGGTTGGAGTCCTTCAAATGAAGGTTGCATGTGGTGTTTCCCACTAATATTTTTGATGTTCAACTTGTTGGCTTCTGTTTGACTGATGGGCTTATCTTGGCTCTTAGGAGAGAGCCTTGCCGGCAGAATCCAAAAGCCCTTCCAGGACATTTTGGGTTGTTCTTTCTGTCATTTTAATCTGTGGAATTATCTGCATTGCTGTGGCAGCAACTCTCAGCTTCGCAAAAACATCTCCCAAGGTAAGGAGATTCTCTTACCCGGAGAACGCAATACTCTGTTCACCACCCCATTTTGCCTGCAGGGAGTGGCTGAAACTGTTCATCAGTCATCAGCAAAATAAGGTTGCAGTCCTCTATACCAGCCTTCCCCAACAGTGCAACCAACCAGCCCACTCCACCACCCCACCAATGCTTTGGACTACAACTCCCATGAGCTGCTTACAGCTGGAGGGTTCCAGATTGGGAGAAGGCTGTTCAGCACGCTGGCCCGGGAGTATGTCCCATTGAACTCAATGGGACATGATTTGATTTATTAGATTTGTTTATTGCTTTATATTATTACCACTGGAAAACTCTTTATCTGTATCCCCTTCCCTGTATTCTTGCAATGATTTATGTACGAACAAGTATGTGTTGCACATGAGAGAGCATTTTCTTTCATCTGCCCTGCGCGTTGCATCAGCAACATGTTCTTCTGTTTTGAGAAAGAGTAAATTACTCCTGTCGTCTCCCTTCTTGCACCAGTTGTGATTTTGCAAACCTTGCAAACACTCCATTAAAACATCAGCTGAAAAGCTGAAAGACGTGAGTCTTCCTCTTTCTGGCTGTTGCCATGACTATCTTTAGCTGTTCTATACGCACACCCCCAATAAAGGACCAGGGAGGGGAGCGTACAGAATCTTGCTGCAGCCGATAGCCCAGGCAGTTTCTCCCACCCCCACCCAGGCTTAACACTGCATATCTTCATAGCCTCTTTTGCAGGTTGTCCGGTTAAACTTCCAGAACCGACCAGGGTCCCGGATGAACCAGTCTGCTTTCATGAACAAGTCCAAGAACACAGTTACTTATTGCATAACTTCCCCAAGTAACCAAACAACATCAGTCTTGTTTGACAACAAGAATGTGAGTGTCCTGGTGGTTCCTGCCTTTCCAAATTTTGAGGAAGGGGATGGGGGAAGGGCACACAATGTTGAGAAATTGCCGGTGCAGCCACAAAGCCCATCTAAGCCGTGAAGCTGGCGGGTGCTCCTGGCCAAGCCACTTGAATGGGAAATCCTCGTGGCCTGTCTGCCTCCCAGGATTTTAGTGATGGTAAAAGATGCAATATCTGTGGCATTCCTTTATCCTCTTCAAGTGCCACAGAATTTTTTTAT